GCAGTTACAGAAGACTCTGCTTATAATTCCTATTGCTGGACCTCTGATGGTTTTTCTAATGTTTTGAAGTTCACAAAGTTAATCCATATGCAATACTCATTGACCTAGGCTCTGGAAAGAATAAATGCAACAGATGAAAAAGAAACAAAATGTCATGTATTTGATGTCATATGGCAACTGTTTGAGAAAGGGAATCAGTTTTCTTATCCAGAGGCTTATGGATTTTCTCTTAATTGACATGGTGGTAATTTTGAATCACTTGATGTCCACTGTAGAAGAAGTGGGTAGCCATCAGAGGCCTCTAAGTCGGCGGGGGAGGGGATTTCATAACATTCTTCTAATGCGGCTCTCAGAGGTTTTTATTAGGGCCAAGAAATAGTGAGTGGGTGACAGTACCAGGACAGCCTTTGTATCAGCTTGGATCCTGGGATTGTTTTTGGGTAAGAGACTTATGATTTCTTAGCCATTTTACTACAGATGACCCTAAAACAGGAACAAGAATTTTTTACTGTACTATGAATGTCCACGTGGTAGCCCTTGCATTCCTCATTACCATCTCACATGAAGAGAAAAAATCCATTACTGTTTTGGAAATTTCATCATCTTTGTTATGGTTCTGATGTTCTTACTTCACTGTCACCACTTTGCATTAGGAGAACCACCATGAACTGCAAAGACATGGCATCACCCATCACATGGAACATACTTTTAGACTTTAGACTTGGTCTTTCTGAAGGGGGAAGAAAAGGATTAAGATTTCTGGTGTTTGAACCACTCCAAATTTTTGTTTTATTTGTTTCTAAACCCCCTTTCCCTCAATACTGCCCATGCTTAGAAGGAAATATGGAAAGGCTAAGATTACTGGCTTTTATTCTCCTTTACATTTTGCTTTGTTTTGTTCCCCACACCCCTTTTCTCCCTTACTACTGCCAATGTCAGTTGGACTGTCCAGTAAAAGTCAAATAATTCTTAGGACCTTGCCACCAGGGAGTGGTATGTGAGGGGATATAGATGCTCCTGGAACCTAATTGGCCTCAGCTTCCACATGCAACTTTTTTCCCCACCCCCTCAGCCAGAATTGGGTAGGCCCAAAATAAAGCTTCTCCTGGGACCTAATTGGCCCTGGATTCCCTAATGTCGCTTCCATAAAATTAACAGGCGTAACAAGTCCCAGCCACATGGAATCAAGGTTCTCAGACTTGGTGGGTGCCTAAGACTATGTAAGTCAGCAAACCCTGCTGACAAACTGAGCATATGAGTTTCCAGATGGAAAAGAGTAAGGCTGTGTTCAGAGAAGCTAAATACCACTGTATTTATCCTTTTCATATATTCTTGCTGCATTAGGGCAAAATAAACTTCCTTTGTTAAATATTCATGCCAACACTGAATCTGAGCTCGGAAGGTGCTGGTGTTAGAGCCACATTTACAATATGAGTGCAGGGAAGGATGGCAAAAATACAATGGAAAATGTATTTTGACATTAACAAATGACAGAGGCTAAATAAAGGCTTACAGGCTGCTTAAAGACTTCATGCTTATGTATTATAAATACTTTCTTAAAAAAAGAGAATCTTTACAAAAATATATTCAGCATTGAGTAACTTCAGTAAAAATAGAATTTTCTCTGACTTAACAGATGAGATACAACTAATTATTAATAATGGAGTAATTTATGAGTCATTTATGTTGAGCTAGAGTAAATGTCAAAATCAAACATCAAATTCAAAGAAATGATAAAGATGAGAAGATGTTATGTGGAAATATAGCTGCTCCAACTAATAAAACTAATTGGATTGAAAAAGAAGTATATATTGAATATCCACATTCCATTACTGGACATAAAGTCATCAAAGGCAAAATAAAAATTGCATTTATATCACAATATTTACAATAGTACTCTTGTGGTAGCAAACTAACAAATATGGAAGCTAAGTGGTAACTGAACAATTGGACAAGAGCTGAATAGATTGTAGTATATAAGTATAAATAAATACTATTGTGCCATAAGAAATGAATATGTAGAATTTAGAGAAATTGATGAGTTATATGAACTGATACAGTGTGAAGTAAGTAAAATCAGAACAATATGTAATGACAATAATAAAGGATGTTAAAACTACACTGAAAATCAGCCACACATAGACTGATTCAAATGACCTATTTTACTCCTGGAGAAGACATGATAAAACACACTTCCCTTCTTTCACAGAGTGATGAGGAATTACAAGTGATGAATGTTTCATAAACTGTCAGGCATAGTTGTTCTAGGCTAGATTTTGCTTAGCTGTTTTTTTTTTTTATAAAAGAGGTTTCAGTGTTAGAGTACAGGGGCTGGGGCTGGAAATGACAGTGGTGTAAAAAAAAATAAATCAAAAGCCTTCAATAAAAGGCAGTGCTCAATAGTGTGTAGAGTGGTTGGACATGGAATCAAGAGGACCTCTTGAGTTCAAATTCTGAGACTTGTATTTACCATTTGTGTGACAAGGACAAGTTATTTCATCCCTCTGAGCCTCAGTACCTTTGCTATAAAATGTGGATAATAATACTATATCTGGGGTACATATCTAGCAAGGTTATTGTGAGGCTCAAATGAGATAGTGTAAAACATCCTGCAAACCCTAAAGAGCTATATATCATGATATCAAAATTGTGCTTGAATGGTATGTGTGTGTGTGTGTTTGATGAGGGATGAGGGAAGAATGATATCAGAGAAGGATAAGCTATGGCTCATCCTAGACAATTGGGGTAAGGAGATGAGGGCTGCAAACAATAAAATAATTTGATTACATATAATGAAGTGCTAAAGTGTTCAGTTCAGACTGAAATTTTAGTAATAAGAATTGTAATTCAAAGAAATTTGAGATCAATGTAGCTTTTACAATGAGCTTAGCTAGGGAATATACCAACAGCAATAGCATTTTAAAACCGAAAAGTTGATCATATATAATGTTTACCAGCATAAGAACCACACCTTTTATGTTAATTCTTGTTGTAACAAACCAAGGTAAGCAAATATTCAAGAAATACATGAAGAACCTCAGGGAGTGGAGGAAGGAATTGTCAGAAAGCTGATTTATTCAAACAACGTTTTATAAATGCTGAGTAATGGACAATTCATGGCCTGGAAAAGATTTCTGGGAGTCCTTTTAGTTTCCTCTTACCTCCATTTAATTAACCAAAAATAATTTATTAAATACCTGCTATGTACTAGGCAATGAGTGGGGATACAAATACAAAAAATGAAGTAATCCCTACTCTATATAAGCTTATATTATAATGTTGGAAACAAGTACAGCATAAATATAAAGTGAATAAATCAAACATATACAAAATAGTGAAATAGTTTGAAAGGAAAAGTACTAGCAATTGTGGTGGGGAGGGATTCAGGGAAGGTTTCATGCAGAACATGGTGCTTATATTTCATCTTAAAGGAAGAGGGACTCTATGAGGCAAAAGTAAGGAGGGATTCATTCCAAGCACAGACACATAGGAATTAGTCAAGAAACTAGCCAAGTTGATAGCAAAACAAATCAGAGAATATATACATAGGAGGATATATACAAACAATACAAAGTGAAGGTACTCTCCCATTGGGAGTGAGGTAACAGGTTAACCAAGAGCATCCTAGATTTTGCTCAAGGGAAGTTCCCCAATTCTCTTATAGGGAAAACTGGGGATAGAGATATGATGTAGACTACCAGCTACTTTCAGACTGGCTTCTTCCCAGAGTAGTTTATCTCAGCAACTTGAATTAGTATTAGCATAGCCCAGCTTCCCTCTTGAATTGGAAGCCAGAAGTCCCTGAAGCTCAAAGAGACTTCCAGGGTCTCAGGGGCTTGAATAGAACTCAAGAGCTCTCCTTTATACTGCTCTTATCAACTCTGCCCTGCCCCTCACACAGGCACAAGGCATTGATTACCACTAATGAGGAGAATCCTTTACCAATGGGCTTTGGGACTATAATTACAATTGTAAAATACCTCATTATAATCTTAGGGCTTCTGAGAGTGTTTTGAGTACTGTGGATAGGGAGCTGAAACAAACAGAACAACTCATTTTCCCAAATTCAGCTGTTTAAATACAATTTTTCCCTCTTACTTGTGAATAAAGAATTAGGTTACTCATAGATCCTTCCTTTAGCTAAAGACAGGAAGCCAAACCAATCCTAAAGTATTCCTTATGCACTTACTCTCAGAGTGCGCAGTGTGAACTGTATGTAGAGGAAAGGGACACAGTCCCATTTCTTTGATTGGTTATCTGTTTATTTCTTTGAATTTGCTTTAGTTACTCCGGTAATTTGGCATTTGTAAGAGAAAATGGACATTTTCCAAACATTTGCATTCATAAAAAAAGTGAATTTATCCTTGAGTTTCTTTCACTTTTCCTTCCTAGAGGATTATTCCCTAGAGGACAGTTTAAACAATGCCTCAGGAAGGCTTTCTCATTCCAGGAACTCTCATTTAAGAATTAGAAACAGAAGTGACCCACAACTCGCACACTACCATCCAAGCAGAGCACGGGGTTCTGCAGTGGGACGCTAGCAGGGCCCACCAGTTGGAAGGCGCTGTTTCTAGGCAATTCCCCACCCCCACTCCTACCCCTAACGAGGCCAAGCATGAAGTCATGTCCTCTTCTCAGTGTTGCCTTTGGGAACTGGGGGCCGTTTGTTTGGTGTTAGGAGTGGAAATGTAAATTGGCAGCTGTCCGACAAGCCTTTTGGGAGCTGGGACGGCTGGAATGATTCACCCAATGTAAAGTATGAGAAAGAACCGCAAGAATAAGAGGCTGCAGAGACCTGAGGCTTTTAGCCTAGATCTCCTTCCGCCGCCTCCACAACTGATGCATTTCAGTAGGGCCTCGGCCTAGAAAACTTTTAATGAGAACCAGATGCTGCTTCTGCCACCGCTATTGAACTTTCTCAGACTCTGTAGCTCCTCTGATTGGTTCCTGCCTGGACCGTCATAGCCAGTCAGGACTCTAGAAAAGACTTGGAGTCCCACCCTGGGCTTAGAGGGCCCGCAGGGAATCTTTGGTCAGATGTTCAGAGCACCGATTCTGGGCTGGTTGTACTGGGGTGTGGATGGCAGACGCGCTCTGCTCCTGAAGCAATCCCGCGATCTTGCCATGAAGGGAGAAAGGGATACGGGTCAGCAGAGGCAGCTGCTGCTGCTCCTGTTTCATTTACACTGGCTGCTCCCTTCGGCCTCAGCCCTCCACCGCAGGACCTCTTTCCGTATGGTGAATCCTGGGGGGACCAATTCCTTGCAGGAAGGGGATGATGAAACCTCAGCCTCGCTAAAGCTGAAGAGACCCTTGTGGTTCTATGACGCTCAGTTCAGTAGCCTCTATGTAAGTTCAATCTCCTTTCACGTTAGGGACTTTTTAGAGACTTTACCTTCTTTCCTCTTTGCCGAAAGAGGGATGGGAAGTGAGAGCGAGGGAGTGAGGAAGAAAAAGAAGGGAGGGGGTAAGAAAGGGAGAGGAAGAGAGAGAGAGAGAGAGAGAGAGAGAGAGAGAGAGAGAGAGAGAGAGAGAGAGAGAGAGAGAGAGAGAGAGAGAGAGAGAAAGAGAGAGAGAAAGAGAAAGGGGTGGAGTGGTGGGGAAGAAGGAGGGTGGTGGGGAAGCAAAGGGAGAGGAGAGGAGAAGACAGAAGAGGAGAGGAGAGAAGAGGAGCTCCATGGTTTTGGGGATGGTTCTTTTCAGGAATGTTGTTACTTGACCCCAATCGCCTTCTGACACCTAGAAGAGAACAAGATTTTCATCTGGACCTGCTTCAGTCAGAAAAAAATGGGGAAATTCAGATGTTAGTTTTGTTGAAGGTTTAGCTTAGGACTTAGGTAGGAGTGCATCATGTTCAGAGATAGAAATGATTTTTCATGGACCCGGAAAGATTTTTTTTTCTCATAGGGATGTATGTTTTCCAAGGATATACTATAAAGGAGTGAGAGTGTGATATAAAAAAATCCCAGGGATATTTAGGACAGAAAATATGACTTTCTTGACTCAAGAATATTATGGTAAGGGGTTATGATTAATAAGATCTTTCAAAACTGAAATTAAGGGTTTTAGGCAAAGGGGTGGTGTTTTTCATCCTGTGAGAATGGGGAGTACATAATGTTAGATTTGGTACAATAGAAGCCACTCAACTCATGAGGAGAAAATTACTGGAGAAGAAATGAGCAGAAGTGTGAGGATATAGGTTTGAAGCACTTAAATTTACTTTAAAATTTGTTAAACTTGTTAAACTTGTTAAACTTGTTAAACTTTTTAAAGTTTATTATAACTGATGGCATGATGCCTACAGTATGTAAATTTATATAAGGTGCTTTTTGTTTTTTTCCCAGGTGGGCACTAATGGAATCATCTCAACTCAAGACATCCTAGAGAGATACAATATGTGAATGATGACTTTCCCACAGAATTCCCTGCAATTGCTCCGTTCTTATCTGACCTTGATACTAGCAGTGGGAGGGGAAAGATCTCTTACAGAAAAGATGACTCTGTGGAGATATTGAGCCAGGCATCGCAATATATTCGTACTGGGTTTCCCAAAACTGCTGCAAACTACACCCCAACACATGCCTTTCTTGCTACATGGGAGGAGGTGGGTGCCTATGAGAAAGTGACACAAAATGTGTTGCCATCAAGACTGGTAAGTGACACATCTGTGATCTCTTTCCAAAGGAAGAAAAGCCATTGGGTAGTGTATTAATGGAGTCTTTGGTAGAGGCTTGAATTCTAAGACAAATTAAAAACAGGAAATGAGAACAAGAGTTCTTACTAGAGGGACAGTATGTAAATGTTTACTAAACAAGAAATTCTACATTTAATTAGAACCAGATTTCTTTTATAATTGATTATTGTGCTCTGGACTTGTCTGTAAAGCAAATACACATTTGCCTTGTGAATCCTTTTGTGTGATTTTCAGAAGTGGTTCTCTGTGAAGGAAACCTTTCTTAAAGGATAAGATTTACTGTGTAAATGGGGAAGCTTCTCATATATTATTCATGTTTTTTTTTCTTTTTTCCTTCCCCCCTCCCCACCTTAGGAACAACACTTCGTTCTTATGGCATGCAACCTCAAGGACAATCATGAGAATTTGAAAGATTACAAATTAAAATTAGTCTCATGGAAATAGATCATAGAATCATAGATCTAGAGTTGGAAAAAAACCTCAAAAATCATTTAATCCAACTCTCATTTTACAGTCTAAGCTCACATTGGTTGTAAGCAACAGAAAAAATTTGAATCCCAGTCCTCTAATTCTAGAGCCAACTCTCTTTCTAATGCATTTTGCAGACAAGCATAACTTCTCACTGCAAGAGGAAGATTATTCCAGATAGGAGTTTGCTGCCCTGAGTAGGCATTTGGGCCTTCAGAGTCACAGTCTTAGAGGGCTTAAGATTCTTGAATTAATATAGTCTTTAAAAAATCCTTGCAGTATTTCTTAACTGTAGGAAGATGGCAAGGATCCAAACAGGGAAATTAAAAAATTTTCCTGTTGTCATGAAATAATTCAGAGGGCATTCATGCTTTTCAGGAATTCAGTTAATTAACTAATAAACATTTATGAGATTCCTGCTATGTACAATAAAAGAGTCAGTATGATTTGGTGGTTACAGGGCAGGGGCGTTGGATTTTGGAAGACTTCAGTTCAGATTCTGACCCTGCCACTTGCCAGCTGTATGACAATGAGCTTAACCTATTGGTGCTTGAGTGACTCGAAAAGCTCTAAGTTGAAAGTGAGTTGCTAGTCTACACTAATAGAGGGAATTTCCACACAAGGAATTCCTCCCAAATAATTAAATTTCAGGCATAATATACTGTGCAAGTCATTTCACCACAATTGTTTTTCTGTTTCTTAAGAGTTAGATATTTCCTAATTTCTAGTTAGGAACTTTGTTCCTATAGGATTTTTTAAAATGAAAAACAAACCCAAACCCCCAAACACCAAACAAGTAGTTGTAAAAATTACATCATTTCCAATGGATATTAAGTGAAGCATAGGCATTTAACTTTACCATAAACAGCACACCTCTACTGTTGCCATCCCATATAGTAAAAGATGTGGTAACAGATCTCCAGAATAAACTTCTGAAGTTAAATTCATCTCCAAAAGTCAAATCTCTTAGAGAATGCATTAGATGTCAGAGAGATAGAGGAGGCAAAGTGGGAATATTCAGACTTAGAGAACTAGAATAAGTTAGCAACAATGAACTGACTTGAGTTGTCCCCTTTCTTGGTTATTCTGTATACATCTTAAATTCAACATGTCCAAAAATGAACTCATCTTTTCTCTCAAAATCTTCACCTCTTCCTAACTTTCCCATTAATAACATCCTCTCAGTCATCTAGGCTCACAGTGTGGGTGTCATCCTCAACTCATCATTCCCTCTTACACCTCTCTCTTGCCTGTATCCAATCTATTGCCAAAGCCTGTCAATTCTACCTTCTTTATATTTTATATGTATGTGTATATATCTGTATCTATCTATCGATAGATATAGATGTGTGTATGTGTATGTAGTGTGTATATTCTCTTCTCTCCTCTGACACTGCCATCACCCTGGGGAAGCTTATCACCTCATGCTTGGGCTACTGCAAAACTGCTCATTGGTTTTCCTGTCTCAAGTCTCCGCTCACTCCATTACTCAGTTATCGAGTAATGCTCTTCATAAAGCTTAGCTCTGACAATGTCAGCAGCCCCAACCCCATTCAATCAACTTTTGTGGCTCCATATTACCTTCAGAATTAAATATAAAATCCTCTGTTTGGCTTTTAAAGCTCTCCTTAATCTGGCCCCTTCCTACCTTCCCAGTCTTCTTACTGCCCTCCACGTATTCTGCAATACAGTGATGCTGGTCTCCTTGTATAGAGACTTTATCTCCCAACTCCATGCATTTTGTTCTTTTTTAAAAAATAAATATATTTTTTCAATTAGCAAGAATTCACTTCACCTTCTCATTCCAATGCCTTCCCCACCATTTGTGAGCATTCTGAGTCTTTCAGTTTTCTATCAGGAGGTAGATAGCACGTTCCATCATTTTCTTCTGGAATCATGGTTGGTCAGTACATTGATCAGAGTTCCTAATTCTTTGGAAGGTTTTCTTTACCATAATGTTGTCATGGTATAAATTGTTCTCCTGGTTTTGTTTACTTTACTGTGCATCAGTTCTTATAAGTCTTCTCATTTTTTTTCCTGGAACTATCCCCTTCATCATTGATTACAGAATAGTAATATTCATTACATTTATATCACACAGCTTGTTCAGCCATTTCCTAATTTATAAGCACCTCTTCAGATTCCGGGTCTTTATCACCTCATAAAAAACTATAAATATTTTTGGACATCCCTAGTTAGAGATTGTTTTTCTTAGGAATAATCCTTCCCTTGACGTACTGTCCCTCTAATTCCTTTTTCTCCTGCTTACCTCCTATTTCCCTATTGAATTAAATGTGTTTATGTACCAAATTTTGTATGTGTTTGACTCAGATGTAAGGTTCACATTTGATTAAATTTAAGGCATAATGTACGTTAGTGACTATGCTAGTCACTAGCATCTGTTTTTCTGTTTCTTAAGAGTTAAGTATTTCCTAATTTCCAATTAGGAACTTTGTTTCCTGTAGGATTTTTTAAATTTAAAAAACAATAAAAAACACCTGAGGGGCAGCTAGATGGCACAGTGGATAGAGCACCAGCCCTGGATTCAGGAGGACCTGAGTTCAAAGCTGGCCTCAGACACATAATACCTACTAGCTGTGTGACCCTGGGCAAGTCACTTAACCCCATTACCTGGAAAGTTCTGGATTGGACTGTAATATTCCTGGGAGTTTTCATTTTGAAATTTCTTTTGGATGATTGGTAGATTCTTCTTATTTCCACTTTGGCTTCTGGTTCTAAGAGATGTGAACAGTTTTATTTTAAGTTATAATGTTCAAGTAGTCCAATGATTCTTATTTTTTTTTCACCTTTCCTGTTTTATAGGTCGGTTGTTTGAGATACTTTACATTTTCTTTGATTTTTAAGTCTTTTGACTATTTTAGTATTTTTTCTAGTTATCATTGAATCGTGGGCTTCTATTTCATTCATTCTAATTTTCAGGGAATTTATTGTGTAGGTAAGGTTTTGTACTTCATGAGCTTAACTGTTAATTCCCTTTAGGTTTGTCTTGGCAAATGGATTCTCAAGTCTACAGTTATTTTAATGGAATTTCTTTTTCTTTTTCTTCCTGGTGTACTTTGTGGTAGTATATAAAAATACCAATGATTTATGTGGGTTTATTTTATATCCTGCAACTTTGCTGAAGTTGTTAATTATGTCAACTAATTTTTTAGTTGATTCTCTGGGATCTAAGTACATCATCATATCATCTGTAAAGAGTGATAGTTTTGTTTCCTTATTGCATATTCTAATTTCTTCAATTTCTTTTTCTTGTCTTTTTGCTATAGCCAGCATTTCTAGAACAATATTGAATAATAGTCATCCTTGGTAATAATGCACATCTGTGCTTCAGTCCTGATCTTATTGAAAAGGTTTCTAGCTTATCTCCATTACAGATAATGCTTGCTGATGGTTTTAGATACATGCTACTTACCATTTATTCCTATGCTTTCTAGTGTTTTTTATAAGAATGTCTCTTGTAATTTGGTAAAAGCTTTTTCTGCATCTATTGAGACAATCACATGATTTTTGTTTTAGTTACTGATGTACTCAGTTATGCTGATATCCTATATTGAACTAGCCCTGCATTCTTGATATAAATCTTACCTGGTCACAGTATATGATATTTGTGATATATTGCTGTAATCTCTTTGCTAGTATTTTATCTAAAATTTTTTTTCAATTTTATTAATTTATTGATTTATCAACAATCACTTCCATATGCTTTTGAGTTGACAATTTTTCTCCCCCTTCTTCTCCCCCACCCTCCCCAAGACAGCACACAATCTGATATAGGCTTTACATTTGCATTCCTATTAAACATATTTGCACATTAGTGAAATTGTAAGTAAAAATTAAAACCAATAGGAGGAACCATCAGAAAGATGAAACAAAACTCAACAGAAGGTAAAAAAAGTGATAGCGATTCGACTTCCATAGTTCTTTCTTTGGATGTGGTCAGGATTTTCCATCCCAAGGCCTCTGGAGATGTCTTAGATCCTTGTAATGCTGAGAAGGGTTCAGTTCAACAATATTAGTCATTGCATAATGTAGCTATTATTGTGTACAGAGTCCTCTTGGTTCTGCTCACTTCACTCAAAGGTTAGTTCTAACTGACAAGAGACAAGCCAATCAGTTCCCAATGATCCATCCTCCAAGAGGTGCCCATCCTCCTCCATGGAGCAATTAGAGTTAACTGTCTTGCCCATGGTCACACAGCTAGTAAGTGTCAAGTGTCTGAGGACAGATTTGAACTCAGGTCCTCCTGACTGCAAGGCTGGAGCTCTATCCACTGCGCCATCTAGCTGCCTATCTAAAAATTTTGCCTCAATATTCAGTAACTTAAATTGGTCTATAGCTTTCTTTCTCTGTTTTTGCTTTTCCTGGTTTAGGTATCGGCACCATATTTGTGTCATAAAAGGAATTTGGTAAGACTCCTTCACCTATTTTTCCAAATAGTTTATATTGTATTGGAATTAATTGTCCTTTAA